TTTGCTGTAGTCCTGTGATCTTCCGTAGGTTTCTGGAAAGCACAAACAGGCCTGTCGAGGCATTCCCGGCAGCATAGACATGGCATTTTAGGCTAACCTTCTGCAGTAAACACAAACTCTCCTGGGATGATGAAAGGTGGTTTTTGAAATAAACCTATTTTGGGATAATTTTGGGTTTACAGAAAGTTGCAAAGTCAGTACAGAGGTTCTCTTCTGCCCCTCACGCCCAGGGCACAATTGCCACGCCTGAGGAGCCAGCACCGAGCCTCACTGCAAACCCAGACCTCATTGTGGTTTTGTTGTCGGTGTCCTCTTCCTGCTCCAGGACCCTGTCCAGGGCACCACGTGGCGTCTGAGTGGTGTCTCCCCAGTACCCTCTGCCAGTGACGGTTGCTCAGCCTCTCCTTGTTTCCCGTGACCTGCAGTTCTGAGGACTGTCCAGGTAGTGTGTCAAATGTTCCAACCAGGGCTGTTATGATGTTCTCTCATGGTGAGACAGGATGGTAGCTTTTGAGAGGAGGATCATATCCTACCTCACCACATCCTGGTGGGGGTCCCTCACACCCAGATGACATCACAGGTGACCTGGACCTTCCTCACCTGGGTCAGGAGAGTTAGTCTCTGAGTGAATCCATGGTGACGGAGGGTCCTCTTGGACAGGGGAGGATCTAGGTAAAGTTTTGGAAATCTTATGGGAGATTTGTCTTCTGGCCCCCTTTTATTTATCCAATTGCTTGTTCATATCAGGACAACTCATTTGTGTTCTGTGCTCTGGGCCATGATCCAGCACTGCTGTTTTGTGTGCACACTGTCACCCTGTCCAGCTGGCTCCCGGATCCTGCTGACCTTCCCCCAGCCTTGCATATGTACGTCTGGGCGCTTCCTGACTTTCTGGCATGACAGGACCCTCCAGGCTCGCCTGTATGTTCCTTGCCTCAGCCCTGGAGTCAGCCCTGGGTCCTGCACTGGAGAATGGTCTTAGAGACCAAGATCCACACTGGGTGTGCTCATGACTCTTGGGGCGTTGAGGCCTCTAGGCTCAGGTTATGGATGCTTATGTTCAGACAGATGTATGGCTGCCTCTGTCTGTCTGTATCTAGGCATTAAGTAAACACGAGTTTATGCTAATGCGTCTGACTCTAATTCAGTACCATAGGCCCCTTCTGGCCTTCCTAAAAGGTTATCTTTTTTTTTTTTTTTTCCTTTTTGTGTTTTTTCGTGACCGGTAACGGGATCACAACCCTCAGTGTTGCGCCCATACCGCGACGGCAACGGGATCGCAACCCTCGGTGTCGCTCCCGCACTGCGCTCAACTAGTGAGCGGACCAGTCTCTATATGGGATCCAAACCCTCGGCGGGAGCGCCGCCGCGCTCCCAAGCGCCACACTCTACCGAGTGCGCCACCGGGCCGGCTTAAAAGGTTATCTTTTTTTGTTTTTTTTCCTTTTTTTTGTCTTTTTTTTACTGACTGGTAATGGGATCACAACCCTCGGTGTCGCGCCTGTACCGGGGACCGGCAACGGGATCGCAACCCTCGGTGTTGCGCCTGCACTGCGCTCAGCCAGTGAGCGGGAACCAGTCTCCACATGGGATCCG